TAGCTAGTTGTTAATAAATGGGTAAAAATGTTGATTCATCTGCACAAGTGAGCCTATTGGAAGTGATTTGAAAGGAACCCTTAAAGTTAAATAGAAAACATTGTCTAGAAAAAATCCATTATGTCATCTAGTTACTAAGGTTTCCTCACAAATAGTTATCGATTTCAATAACATCACCTTCTGTACCTCAGTGAAGAAAATGTTTTTTTATTGTTATTACAATAATTTCCTTGTAGATTTGATATGTATGCAAACACGATTTCATAAGTCGTCTAGTATCCTTTCCTGTTAATTGAAATTCTCAAAATTTGGATTATTGTTTCAGCAATTTTTAGGCTTACAAGCATGTTCTTTTTCTCAAAAATACTGTACTACATACTTACTCTTGATAAACACAGCTTTCATAGTCTTTATGTCACTCACTAAAATTACTTTTTAAAAGTTATTTTACCTATACTATCTTAATGTATTCATCAGAGATCAGTATTGGTGTATCAGTCTTAAATTTATATACTCTTCATCCTGTAGTTATCTGTTTCATTAATACCATGCGTCATTAAGTGCATGAATGGATGTGAAATTTTCTAATGGACCGAATTACGTTTATACTTAACATGCAGAACAAAGTAAATTATTAGTACATATTGAAGATAATTTGATGCAACCCATGACATTTACTTGATAATTCTATTAAGAATTTTTCAACTTGGTTTCAGGTCTTCTCATTGAAAAAACGTACATTTAAACAAAATAGACATTTATTTCAGAACTCCCTTGATCATAACTTTGATTGCATGAAGAAGTGTAATGAACAAACGTCATCTAAGATCACACTATGTAACTCTTTCCGTAGATGTTATAACTTTTTACTAGATGATAGTGTTTTCTAAAATGACTAGTTTGTAGAAATATACGTTTAGCAGATACATTTGGTAGCCTACTAACACATAAAGTCCAAAATTACTTAAAAAAATAAAATGTCGTTATCAAAGCCACCTAGATTCGTTCATCACGAAAGAAAAGAAAAGTTGATTTGTACTGGATTACAATCTATCTTAGTGAGTAAAAATAAAAGATACCTTTGACCAGTCTTATAGTTATTGATTATTTAGTATTAAACTTTGGTTAAGACGCAAAGTTTCAAAGTTTCAATTCATTTATATGAAGAGAAAAATTATATTTGCTTTTAAAATAGTGCCTTGTGACACCTTTTTGATAACAACGTTAGTTTTAGTTCATACTTATTTCCATAAATCTGATTCATAGAATAATCGGACAATAGTAAAATCGATGCTAAAATCTGAACAAGCTGCCTATGAATTACATCGATTATTCTTACGTAAATTTATACATACTACTCATAGATGTTAGTTGCGATATTATGGACAATATATGATCGTGGAAACATTTATTATGAATTAACCAATTGGTTTTCTTCCTTCATCAAAATGTTAATTCATGGTTCTAAGGGACAGTATTTTTATAAGTTCCTTTCTATAAATAACTGAAAACAATATGAAAAAAAATATTTTTAAATAAAAGAACTACAGATTAATAATAAAATGAAGAAAATAATGGAAAAACTGATCATCAAGTTTATTTTATATAGAAAGAAGCATCAAAATGATGAAATTCCAAAGCTCATAAAACTTGAATCATGCAATACGTCTTTACAAATCTAGATGATATTTATATATTTATTTATTTTTTATTTAAACACATAAACATTAGTACAAGGAGGCACCAAACAGATATGCGTCATTTAAATCATTCAATTTATGTGAGGACTGGGATACTGTCCGGGTGCCCAAACCGAAGCAGGTGGTTTTCTTAGGGGGCCACACACTGACTGTTTGACCTAAAGGTCTGATCCATAAGGCAGTTTTACATGTAGTGTCAGTTATTATGCTAAGCCCATATACCTTATTCTAGCTTTCGGACATTCCATTTCATTCATTCTACTTGAGTCATATGTTGACCATGTCAATTATTCGCTTGTCAGTCTTGATTGTTTTTATATGAGCGTATATGTGTGTGCACATCATATCCCATGACTCATTGCATGTTTGTAGCTTTATTTTGTCTGACTATAAATATTGAGTAACGCTTGACTAAAATGGAGTTGGCTTCCCAGCCATCTTCCCTGCGTGTCATTTTGCTTTGCTCTGTTTCATTCGCTTCATGTACAAAATATATGTATGCACAGATCAATTCTCGTTATTCGATTTATTTAATTTCATTATTGGCTAACGCGATTAAGTCGACGATTATATACGAGAATAGGCGATGACAAACATTCGTACAATCTAAATAGGAGTCAGATCCACGGGCCACTAAAATGGTGACCCCTTCAACGAGCATCGTCCGACCTAAACGACGACAAAACTACGGGCCACCAAAAACAACGTAAGGAGCCGGTGATTAATAATTGGTTCATATGCCATTTGTTCCCTTAGGATCCTGGAGTCTATGTGCACTGTTGGTATGAAATAAGGGTTTTCCAACTCACCTAAGTGGACTCTCCGTGTCCACCAAACAGGTAAAAAAGCGCAGGACATTTGCTTTTCGTCTTTTGAATTTCGTAAACAATAGTAATGCTGCGAAAAGGCAGTGAGTAGGACTTCTTTGGCAGTGGTTGTATGCACGTGACCACTTGAGAGCATTTCTGGAGGGAGAGCCGACTCTCCTCATTCTCGGCTGTACTAAGGCATTTGGGGGCATGATATTACTCAAAATTTTTTTCTGAATTCATATAAATATTCTTATCACAACGTTGCTAATATATCAATCTTTTGAAGCATCCGTGATTCCATCAAGAGGGTGAACAAAATACTACTGGAAATTCAGTAACAAACTAATTGAAAAATGACATTTCTTCCAAATTATCACGAACAGCATTAATAGGACAATAATGTTTGTTGAACCTGTTAATGCATTAATAAGTGAATACGTTTTTAGATACTAAACCTTATCCAAAATAATCGTCCATGAATCTAGTAATTAATAATTCTGTTTTAATGAATTTCGCCAAACAGAAAACTGGTTATAATTCACTTATGAATGAATATAAAAACTCATAAAACTTAATACATTCAAAGTATTTGGATTTGTGTAACAGACACTATTTTATCTCAATAAACTGTAAATTAAACATTACTAGATGTCTGAAAGTAAACTATTTCCGCTCATTCTCACTCAACATGAATAACAGACAAAATGTATTGTGTATTATAGTCAACAGAAAGTGACTGAAATTAGTTGCTTAATTTTCAGTTTCTACACTTTTACTTAAGACCATGTATGATCTTACTTTTATTAGGTATAAGCCATGATAATGAACAAATAACAAGATATATCTATTGTGCTATTATTCTTAAAAGTTCGAATCCATAAATTGATTTACTGTTTTGATAGTTAGTTGTCAATGATAGGTGCTATATTAAAATCTTTCAAAATCTACGTGATTTTGCTTATATATGAAGAATATGAACGTAAGGTATGTTTTTATGTATTTAGGTCATTTGATTTTATTGATTAGCAGTCAACTTTATTCAAGTATCAATAAAACAATATGGATTATGAACAATCGATTCTGTTTTGGCATAGTTCAACTAGGAGCTAAAATATTGAATAAACATTGGCTAAAATAGACGTTAAGTATAATGTTCACTCTCACGTTTATAGAAATAATTTGATATTGTTAGCCTAATTATTATTTCAGTTCATACTTTCAGTATTGTTACAAATTAGATATTTTAATGAACAATGTAAAGCCCCAGAGAGGATAATATAAGAGGTATTTGAGTGGCATATCCTAATTTGATAATTCCGAAGGTGTTCTTATGTGAAAATCTAGGTGTCACATGTAGGTGCATCTAGATGGTCAGTCCCAAATGATACAAAATGCGCGTCGTGTATTTCACAGCTAGCCACCACTCATCTCTACCTATAATCCCTGTGGTTTACTGACAATATGGATGTAGTTCGTATAGGATGCACATATGCCGAATAAGACTGATCACATGAGGTCCTCAACATCAATGGAAAGATTGAAGCAACCAAGAAAAACAAGTCAAACATCGGTTTATTGCACAAGCCAGTGACTATTCCGACTCAATAGACAAGTAGATAACCCGATGAGATTAAAAACAAACGGTACTGGGTTCGAGTCCCGGGATGAACATCAACTTTAGGGTGTAGGTACATTCAGTTGATTAGTTAAAAATAGGGTAAAATCCATGACTCAAATTGAACTGCTAGTCATGATCCATCCCGCTTATATTTATTTAATATCAAAAAACAATCGAATAAATTCATGGAATCTTTTAGATATAAACCATTCTTTAAGAAAACGATGTAGTGAATATTTTATATGTAAAACAATCTAGTATTACTGAGAAGTGAAAGCGCTCCGAGTTGTATGACCCACTTAGTCTAGCATTTACATAAATGGCTCTTATATTTTCTTGTTATTAAGTTTAATTTCGACTATATACTTAGCTTTATATGAAAAATAAAGGAACTTTGTCTATATCACATGATTTCATTAGAAGTAATCGAAAGATTTCTTGAAAAATCATTCTCTGAGTAAATCTAATGTATGTTTTTTATTTAATAACAATACTAATGAATTTTCAGCGATGATTATCAATACACTATAATAATTATGAGTAGGAGAAGAATTACAATGTTTATGTTTCATGCAGACGCTTACCATTAGTGTATAAAAATCCAATCAGAAAGTATAAACTATGAGCAATAAAGCTGTGAGTAATTAAAAAAAGAAATACTGATTAGGAACAAACAATAATTAGGAATTCATTTCAATATGATTAAGTCCTCTATTCAGATATAATACGTATTTGATTAGTAAATGATTCAATCCATAACCTTAGTTATTTTGAGTAACCTTGTAAGCTTGATTTCACTTATAAATGTATAATTCGATGATTTGTCAATGGATCATTATGTAATTCAGTTAAAACAAAACAAAAGCCTTTAAATGTTCACTTAAATGAACATATATTATGTTTTTATATTATATAAAGAAAAGATATAAACCAATAATCCAATTCATAATATCTAATTGTATTTCAGTTGTTGAGGATACATGTTTTGTTGAATAAAAAAAAAACTACTACAACTGAGTGGCTTCTTTTTTTTTTAAGAATGAAAAAGAAATAGAAAAAAAAAGTAAAGAAACAACAGTGATAATGTAAAGTTTTGAAGTTAGTAACAACATTTTATCAAAAGTAATATCTACGTATATTCTGTTAACATAAAACACAATCATTCAAATATAGATATATAGATTTATTCCATTTGTTTTCTATTCAGTTTACATTAATTATCTACCATTAGTATATTTCGTTAAATAAATAATCATTTTATATTTTCATTACTTATAAACTTTTAATTAACTTTTTTTTAATACTTTATCATTATTTTTTGTTGTTGGTTTTTTGAACGAAAATATTTGACCATGGTTACAATCTGAAAATTACTTTTGCTTTTACAGATTTATATATACATATGGTCAATGATATGAGCCAACAACGAAACTATTTGAAATAGTGATAGTATTGATTATTATTGTATCTATGGCTTGTTCTTTTTTTTTTGATTTAGAAAACAAAAAGAATTTATATATTTGAGTATAGATGAATAGTGTAATGGAAGTTAAAAAAAAAGGGTGATCGAAAAACCAAAATGATATCGAAAGTCAATCAATAAATGATTTTAAAGTATTTGTAGATTGATACATAAGTTTTGAGAAATAAATACAAAACACCATTGAAATATTTGTTTTCTTTAAAAGAATATTACCATTATGTGATTTATGAATGAATATATATGAAATAGTTAATCGTTTGATTTATTTTAATACCTGTATGGTGAGTTTCTATGATGATCTTCATTTCCATAACTATAACTACTTCGTCTATCTGAGTAAATGGAATTATTTCCCAAAGTTCCTTGACTTTTTGGTCTATACAAATATAAATAAACTGGACCATATCTGTTGGTTATTATACCTTTATGTGGATCATAAGTGAGATAAGTTACATCATGTAAATTGTCAATAGTTCGACGTTTAGCACTGGCATTAAGTGATGGACTATAACTTTGTTTAACTGGTGAAACCATAACTGGTGATGGTATATAAACAGGGCTAATATTATTATGTGCATAATAATTTTGATTATTCTCAGGTATTGAAATTGTTGCACGATTGTTTTCAATTTCAAAATTACTTACTGAACGTACACGACCCACATCATCAACGTAAACTTGTCGAATAGATGTTAAATCACGTAATACTTTATCTGTATCATTCATTGCTCGTCTAAGATATTCACAAACTGTTTGTGCTGTTTCAGGAATTTTACATTTATATATTTCATAATATCTCATAGAACTATACATAGAATCAATGCATAGTACAAAAAAATGTGGAGTAGCTCTATTTATATATATTTCTTTAATTTCTTTATATGTTACCCATGGACGAAATGGTATCTTACCAGATGCTTTATTTCGTTCAAAACTAATACGATCTTCTAATAAACTTCCAGTACAATGAGATTGTCGTTTACGACGATATTTTTGTAATAGATATAATGCTCTTGTTTCAGAAAAATGTTCTGCTGGACCAGCATTTACACGAAATATTGTACAAATATGTGTTTCATAAAATAAATGCTGTTTACTTCCAACATGACGTAAACAATCATCAATATAATCACGTTCTTGTTGATAAGAGAAAACTTCTTTATTCCTCATATTCAAAAAAAAATGTCAAGTTCTTTCTGACTTTTAAATATTTGTAAATAAATGTACCTCTATGTATATATATATATTATAAACTTATGTATCCAGTTGGATAAATCTGTTAACCGAGTTTTTATAAGGACTATTTATGAGCATATGAGCATATATATATATACTCACTGATATGAATGCAAAAACATTTTTTTTTCCAGAAAACTTTAACATGAATGACTAAGTAACCAATTGATAATATGAATTTTAAAAAAAAAGTATTTTTCACACAACAATAATAATAATTTTTGTTTTTTTGTATCACTATTTGTAATAGAGAATAATAATAATAATAATAATAAGTTTACTTGTATTTGGAAACCCCCTTTTTTTGCAATCATAAGAAAATCAATCATCATATTAAGGATGTGTTTCTATGCAGAAATGTATCATATATGAAGGATTACTTGAATTATTGATTTTCATAAAACAATAATAATTTTTTTTTAAAAACAAACTTGGAAAGCAAAATACTTATTATAGATAATTGATTTAAATGATTACAAAAATAAAGAAAAAAAAAGAAACTTAATTTTCATTCTTTAGCAATAGAATGTATGATGTAAATTTTATTACAAATTAGTAACATGAATTGAATGTATTAGGTACTCAAAATTGATATTGACACAAGTGAATAGCTTTTGTAAGTTACTAGAGAAAAAAAAGAATCTCATATTTATATCTAAATCAATAAGAGTATGGTTCGAATTCTAGTTGAGTTATAAAAATTCATTGACATAGATCCAGATGATTAGCTTTAAATAAGAGATTAACTGAAGCCTTGATAAGTGTGCTAGACAATATTATGATCTTATAGAATCTGCAAATGAAAGTAGTGCTCAAAACTCCATGAAAAAAAACGGTATTGTTGTTACCATAGAAATTAAAACTTAGTTATGAATGAAAATTGATATTTTGACAAGAATTATATTTTCAGTCTTTCATATTGATTCAATGGGTTTCAAATAACAAATGGGACTTATAAGATTTTTAAGAGTTTTTAATCAATTGACGAACTTTTTGCCTACATTCACTTTATTTTGAATTTCAACAAATATTATGCACATTTAATATTTATATTTATAAGCAATGATGGATAGTGGCTAGCAGTGGGATCCAGGGCGCGCGTCTCGTCCTATTTGGGACTCGTCAGCCGGATGTGCCTGCATCTCAGAGTTGACGTAGCTAAGTGGATAACGCGATGGCGTGTGAGGTGAATGGTACTGGATTCGAGTCCCATAATGAACATACGCACAGTATGCACATAGGCCGATAACAGACTGATCAATTGCTGTCATCAACCTCAATGGGAAGATACAAGCCAAACAATACCAAGTAACTATATTTATTTTCTGAATCTTGATTGCTTGCAATCATTTATCATATAGTTATTTAGTCTTATTTGAAAGTATCGGACATAAAAGCATTACTAGCTCTGCACTGAAAATACATATGCTATTTAAAATCATATCTTTCGAAATAATTTGTATCACAAGTGGATAGAAGAATTAGTAGTTTCAAGCAAAGTTAAATTTTAATGTGATTGGGATGCTAAATTCATGTTCAACCCTCCCACTTTATTCAGGTTTGAGACCGTTAGTAACATACGAAGGACTTTAGAGGAGTTAAATGAATGGAACTGTACAGAAGAAATTGTAAGCGATTTCGATATATAAAGCATGCAAACATCATGTAGTTGATGTTTAAATAATCAAATCATAATACGAAATGAAGTAATGACTTTAGATAATAGTTGCTAGGTGTAAGCGGAAATATTTCATTTTAAACACAGAATAAATGCTATCTTGATGCGTATCATATTTTAAACGACTGATTGAAAACATAAGTTCTTTTTCCATGATGAAATTATTCTATTCATATTTATGATTTGTGGAGAGAAGAATAAAAACCTTCTATAGTTCTTTTCCAATATGCATCAGTAGATATTTAATCTCTTTATAAATAAAACATTCTGGGATGTAGGCGCCATTTATTACATGAGTTGATTTCAAGAGTTGATTATCTAATTTTAAATCCTGTACTCAATATGGTTTTTGATCGAACCTAAATTTTGAATAAATACACTGTGCCTCCTAAGTGATTCTAATCCAGTTAAAAGATTAAAAGAGTAAATCTCTTTGTATTGTATGTATCATAATAAAGTGACCCTCTAAACTACTAAAAAATAATCTGGTTGAACTTATCAATTCTTTCATTCCTCGGTAATTCGAACATCTGTGATGCTGCACTATTAGAACTTGGGGTTTATGCTCAATCTTCTAGATTTGTGCTCATCACTGTTTCTCGGTAAAGTGTGGCGAACATATTTTATCCAACTTTATCAAAGTCTTTCATAATGCCGATATCATTCTAGAACTTTTAATTGTAACTGAAATATAGTTACCCATGGTCCTCAAGTCTTTATTTACACTGACTTGTAAATGAAGGCTAACTTGAAATGTGGTTCGCTAGAGCATTATCTAGGTTTTTTAGCTACCGTACAGGCACATTTAATTAAATTAATGACGATGTCTAGAAGTTTGTTGACGTAGGAGACTAACAGTTTCTGACTTATTATAGTCCTCACAGATAGCTCCCTAAGTGCCGTTTTCTAGTAAATGACTATGGAGGTAGTTTGTATTCTGTTTAGCCTATAAACAAGAACCTTTCCAATGTGCTTAATCAGCAGTCAAGTGAATTCCAAGTTTTTAACTTTTTTAGAGGCAAGGTATGCAGTTACTTATCGAAAAATTTGCTGAAATCGAGTAAATCTGTGCGGCTATGTCTTATTGACAGAAGGTTTACGATTATCAGTAAATCGTTTCTGATGATGTTCTGTGCACTGTTTATTACAGGGTGTATTCATGGGAAGCTCATAGTTATCTTTTTAGCGATTCTTCTTAAGTTTGTTACAATCACGTTTTTGTATGATAAATTGGTCTCTAACTTAACGCTGTCCTCTTAGATGCTTCTTGGTAGATGAAAGTGACTCTCATATCTTTCTGAGCTAGCCACAGGGAAGGGCTTTTTTGTGTCGTAATTTGTCTCGACCTCTAAGTTTGTTATTCGCCCAGGCCTGTTGGTCTGGAGTGCCCAATGAGTTTATTACATTATCCTGGTTAATAACTTTAGTAACAGACCACTTTTAAATTTGTTATTCATTGAGAGTAAATAATAAACTTTGCAAAGCATCTTTCCATAGTCTTCGTTTTGTTATGATCTTCTGTTTTTTTAAACGCGTTCGTCTAGCTGAAACAGTCATCTTTTGACGTCTTTTAGCCTCACAATTTATTTAAGAGGAAATACTCTACGGTGTATACAAGTTGCTAACTGTTATGTAAGACCCAGGATTGCTATGATGTACGTATTTGTAGTCGGCTCGTAGAACAGCTTTTCTTTATCGATGCCAAGATATATGGTAATATTCCAGGCCGTTAGGTAAATAATTTGCTAATAATCCATAGAGACTGCTATTTCTCGTCTTTGGGACTGAGCAAATTAAGAACGTTTTCAGATAACTGGTTATAGAACTGTCCTACGTATATCTATGGAGCTTTAATTAAAGGTACAGAGACGATTGCTATGTGTTAGTCTTTGTAGAAATTGTTGAGTTGATCTCAACTTTGTTATCTTGCAAAACGCTAAAACGGGCAAGCACAATGATACTGTATAATATAGCACCAATGAAATAAATCTTAGTAACAAAGTCATTTCGAAATTCGGAAATGGTTAGTAAAGTTTAGTGATTTCTTCAAATATTCAGCTTAACAAACACAAAAAAAGATTTATATAACCTTTACTTATCTTGTCAATGAAAGATTACGTTTTTTACCTATCTAAATTATTTATTACTTCACATTGCCTAACTATGATTTCTATAAATCATCTGAAGGCTAGCTATTGTTCAATCTAAGCTTTTGTGGTGATTTGTTCACTTTAAATGTTCTCAGATCGATAACATGTTGAGTAAGAATGTACCCAATGACAAGTTGTCGTTTAAATGACATCAGTGTAGGTTATACTTTTATTCATTCCACAGTACATTTGGGTATACACCAAGATCTACCTGAAGATTGAAAAAAAATAATTGTGCTCTATTTATTTTTATAAAAAAACTAATTTGTTAAATGTTACTTTGTTTTCAATTCTGATTGAAAAATGCTCATAACTTAAATGAATTTTAAGAAAACTGAATATTACTGTTTTGACATGAGCCAAATAGCACTTTATATGTAAAATAGTGACTGATTGATTTGCTCACATTACAAATGTTTACAATATACACTTTAATACAACCATTTGAACATAGTACACATAGAGTAGCTTATTCTTATCAATCATAATTATGAAATTGTGCGCTTATTGCATATGACAACGTTTGCTTACGTTTTTGATTGAACTAAATCATAAGATACCAAATATTGATTTGTAATACTAAAAAAAAACTGATGGAATATTTTGGCAGGAAAATTTTGTATGATTATTTGTCTAAGATATTATTTGAATTAAGTTATAAATTTCTAAGGGAATATTGAGTTAGTTACTTTTACATTAATGAAAGAAATCAGACTAAAGATTATTTATCTTGATGGAGTTTTTTTTATTTGAGCTCAATGGTTTGGTTGTGGAGCGTTCATCCTAGAAGTTTGTGTTGATGATGTCGTTCAGAAGAATGATGAAAGCTCCACGATCAAACTATCCAGCTCAGAACAAAACTTCATCAAAATCATCCACCTAAATTACAAATCTTCATCATCTCAAGATTATTTATCAAATGAAAAGTTACTTTATAGTTAAGTAAAAAATTACTTATGATAAATACGTTTTGCTTTAATTCATCATACTTTAGTGACTATGTATGTGTTTCAAGTGACATTTTATATTGGGCGAAACTAGATTCATAAGTGTGAATCATAAACGTATATAAGATTTTTGTCTTCAAATTAACAAATTTTGGTTAATGATAACCACAAGTGATTTGATTTAAACAATTACAAATCAAGTATCTGAGATTTTACTGCACAATAAAATTAACTTTTCTTGTCATTCATTTAACACGTGAGTTATCCATATTTTGTAAACGGTAGTGTGAATTGACGAAACTAT